AGTATTACAATTATAATCAACATAAGCATATCCAGATTAACATTAACATTAAAATTATTATTAGCATTAGAATATGTACATTAGCATTAACATTAACAATATTAACATATTAGTATAAGAAATAGTATCAATATTAGTATTAGTAATAGTATTAGTAATATTTGTATTAATATTAGTGTTAATATTAGTTTTAGTATTAGTATTAATATTAATATTAATATTAGTCTAAATATCAATATCGGTATCAATATCAGTATCGGTATCATTATCGGTATCGACATTAGTATCGGCATCAGTATCGGTATCGGTATCGGCATCGGTATCGGCATCGGTATCGGTATCAGTATCAGTATTAATATCAGTTTCAGTTTCAGTATTTATATCCGTATCAGTATCAATATTAGTATCAGTATCAGTATCAACATTTGTATCAATATCAGTATCAGTATCAGTTATCAGTTTCGATATTAGTACCACTATCAATATCAATATTAGTATCAGTATTAGTATGAGTATGAATATGATTGTGAGTATCTGTATGAGTATGAGTATCAATATTAGTATGAGTATCAATATTGTATGAGTATCAGTATAAGTATCAATATTAGTATTAGTATTACTATGAGTATCACTATGAGTATCGGTATTAATATCAATATCAATATCAATATCAATATCAGTATTAGTATTAATATGGCTTAATTCCACTTTACACCCTTGAAATATACCATTTTGGCACTTTGCACCCTCAAAAAATAATAATAGCACTTTGCACCCTCAAAACACAATAAATCATTCACAATGCACCCTCAATTGAATAATAAAGGCAATTTTATTTTTCATTAGTGTTTTTCTTTTCGGGGTACAAAATAAAAAAAAAATATTGTTATTTTCTTGAACCTCAAAAAAACCTAATTTCAAGCGGACAGAGTGCGAAAAAAATAAAAATTACACCAGATTATTTGAAAAAACTACATATCTTACAAAAGAAAAATAAAACATAAGCTTTTATCAGTAAATTATTCGATTGTGGATCTTTTATGTAACTGTTTGAAAATATTAGGTGAAAATGTTTGGAAGAAAATATGGTTTTCAGATAATTTGATAACCGAATAGCTTAATGATTTTTTTTCGTAAAATATTTTATTTTGATAAAAAAGTATAATTTTTAAATATATTGATGGAATGTATTTTTATTTTTGAACTTTATAGTTTCAAAATGATTGATGAATAAAAAAATATTTGACATTTGGCATCCTAAAAAAAATATCACTAAAAGTATTAAATTTATATTTTTTAGCTTTAAAAATTCATTTGGGGTGCATTATGCATGATTTATTGTATTTCGAGGGTGCAAAGTACTATTAATTTATTTCGAGGGTGCAAAGTGCCAAAATGGTATATTTCAAGGGTGCGAAGTGGAATTAAGCCGTATTAATATTAATATTGCTATGAGTATCAGTATTAGTGTAAATATTAGTATCAGTATCAGTATTAATATTAGTATTATTATAATATTACTATGAGTATAAGTGTTAGTATCAGTATCATAATTATTATTGTTATTAGTATCAGTATTAGTCTTAGTATTAGTATTAGTATTAGTATTAGTATTACTATTAGTATTAATATTAGTATCAATATCACTATTAGTATCACTATAAGTATCAGTATTATCATTAGTATTAGTATCAGTATTAGTCTTATTTTTAGTATTAGTATTAGTATTAGTATTAATATAACTATCATTATCAATGAAAGTATCAGTATTATTATCAGTAATAGTATCAATATTAGTATTATTCTTAGTATTAGTATTAGTATCAATATGAATATTAGTATTAGTACGTATTATTATTAGTATTAGTATTAATATTGGTATTAGTATTTGTATGAGTATTAGTATTAGTATCAGTATTACTATTAGTATCGGTATTAGTATTAATATTAGTATTAATATCGGTATTAGTATTACTATTAGTATTAACATTAGTATTAGTATTAGTATTAGTATTAATATTAGTATTAGTATTAATATTAGTATTAGTATTAGTATTAGTATTAGTATTAGTATTAATATTAGTATTAGTATTAGTATCAATATCACTATAATTATCAGTGTAAGTATCAATATTATTATAAGTATTAGTATTAATATTAGTCTTATTTTTAGTATTAGTATTAGTATTAGTTTTATTATTAGTATTAGTATTAGTATTGGTACGAGTATGAGTATTAGTATTAGTATTAGTATCAGTTTTAGTTTTAGTATTAGTATTAGTATTAGTATTAGTATTAGTATTAGTATTAGTATTAGTATTAGTATTAGTATTAGTATTAGTATTAGTATTAGTATTAGTATTAGTATTAGTATTAGTATTAGTATCAGTATCAATATTAGTATTAATGTTTGTATTAGTATCATTATTAGTATCGGTATTAGTATTAATTAGTATTAGTATTAGTGTTAGTATTAGTATTAGTATTAGTATTAGTATGAGTATTAATATTAATGGAATTAGTATCACTATTGGTAACAATATTGGTATGACTATTGGTATCGGTATTGGTATTAACATTGGTATCAGTACTGATAGTGGCGTATACATCATATATCTTTTGCAATATTTATAAGTTTTATTGTTTTTTGAGTATTGTGCATCACTAATTGAACGTCATTAGTCATAAACTTGCAGATTATTTGAGTATCTATTGTGTTACTTCTCTGCTACCGTGTTTGTTGTTACCTTAGTTATTTTGCAGAAGATTCACATGGTGTAGTAGATTGCAATCCAAGAAATATAGTGATACCATATGTTTTAAACGATTTCACTTAATCTTGATATCGTGTTTTGCGCGCTTTATGTTTTCTTATTTGTAATATTTAACTTAATTTTATATGTTACAATTCTAAATTAAGAGATAATGTTTGTTTTTTATTTCGTTCCATTTTATTTTACTTGAATTGGTATTGTTATAGAGAGATAGTCGTTTACATAAGTTTATTTTTCTTATTTTGAAACTGACCTCCGTGCAACGCACGGGTGAAATACTAGTTAAAGCATAAATTTAATTAAATCTAAACAAAAGATACAGGTAAAGTAAACGTATTAAGCGCAAAATCTACACTCAACAACCTCATATAAGAAACACACCACTCATTAAATAATGTGGAATTAAATGCTACACTTGATTATTTACATTGTGCGAATCTAAACCGTAGCACACATACACGAAGATGTATATGTTTATGTGTAGATTTGCGGTTCAAATCCACCAAATGTAAATACCCAAAAGTAGCATCTAATTTCCTTTAAACAACTCACATAATATAAGAGTCAAACGTATTTTGACTAAGATTTTGACTAATCGTATCACTACAAACATTTTTTTTTTAAAACTAGAAGCTCAAACACCGAAAAAGACAATGTTTGGTTCTGTTTTTGTTGCCGTTTATTCTTTTCCGTAAACGAGTTCGTGTTTGTTAAGCTTTCCAAAAGAAAAATCTCAAAACAACTATTACAGTTTATATATCTTCCAGACATGATTTAACTGGTTCATTAAAAAAAAATATCTTCAGTAGAAAACAAACAAACGTCAAATTCTTCTTTTGAAATGCATTATTTTCAAACAACTTTAAATATGATTTGACTGCTGCATTGTTTTTTTTATCTAATCTCAAATCATAAACAAACGTTACTTTACTTCTCAAATTATTTTATCAAAATCGTATTTCCCAAAATAAAATGACAATAATTCCAAACAAGTGTGCCGACAATATCATAGTTCAACCATTAGCTCCGTTCATTTCCTTCCTATAGTTATATGTGTATATTTTTATAAATAAATTAGTAACGGTATAATTACCAGACATCTGGCCTATTATGTAACCACTAATTTTTGCTAATGCCAGAGTATGAACATCTTTTTCCACTCTCAACAAATTCACATTAAGTGGGTTAGTAAACATAAAGTGGGGTTAGTAATTATTACACTAACCCAAGAACAAATTTTCCAATCTCAATCTTTATCACCCAATAAATAAATTAAAAAACATACCGAAAACGAATTGCCAAGTGGCAATCAAACCTCGAAAAAGACGAAAGAAGCACGTAAACGTAAACGCGGATAACAATTATAATAGAGAGCCATTTTGGCACGAGAACATTGGATTTGCAACACAGCAAAGTTTTAATCTTGTCTTATTGCAAAAATAACTTTTTATACAACGTGTCGTCAATCTACTTTGCCAATAGATTAAAAAAATCTGCTTTTCTAAATTTGACATATACACACAATTTTTCGTATGTCCTTTTCAAAAGGACCCTTATCTTGATATTACTCCCTCTAGTGATTTTTATTCCAAATCTACAAATAAAAAATAACAATAAAATCATAAGCTCTAATGCATACGGTCAAGATTTCGAGTTAAAAAACTGTTGCGTAAATTACGGCCATCATTTGAGGTAAGGTTAAATTATAAAAACCCCTCTCTTGTTTGGGTAATTGTAACTAACCTCTCTCAACTATAAATCTTATTATACGTCCATCCTTACAGTGTTAAATTTAGTGGAATCTTTTAGATCATGTGAAATATACTTCAATTTGTACCCGTTTTACCTCAATTGAGCTCCACATTTTGAAATAAAATGATCATAAAATATGTCTTTTGACTTGTAAATATCAGATTGTAGTGCATTAAAAACTGCATTTTTGCAAAACGAGTGCGAACTAGAGAACATTCAACGGAATCTAGAAGATTATATCGAATTTGACACCATAAGGGTGGACGTGTAAGATAATTCATAGTTGAGAAGTGGTTGTAATTACCCAAACAAGAAGGATTTTTCCGTAATTTAACTTTACCTCAGACCCAAAAGTTGTTTACAGAATTGATCAGCCCGTTGACCACGGGCCGATTTTGACCCGAACCGTAGTCATGTCTAATTTTACTAGCAACATATTTCCTATATTGAATCCGAGTAAATATCGATAAAAACCGACACCTGGTATCTTAAAGAGTTCGTAAGTGCTAAATACAGGCCCACCATGCATCAATACAAACACGTCTCTATATTTTATATTCAGTACCTTAAAAGCAGCTGCACTCATAAGTGTGCTTTTACCCCAGCCAAACAAATCCTAAGGAATCGGAAAAAAAAAAAAAAAAAAAACTGGTGGGAAGAAACCTGGAGAATTCATGTCAACTACTAGTGCTAAGAATAGCAACAAAAACAACAAAAGAAGATTTAGCGACGAACAAATCCAGTCACTGGAAACCACGTTCGGGACAGAGTCGAGGCCGGAGCTCCGACTGAAACATCACCTAGCTGACAAACTAGGCCTTCAGCCTCGACAGATTGCCATATGGTTTCAGAACAAAAGAGCGAGATCAAAATCGAAGATGATCGAGCAAGAGTACAGCGAGCTTAAATCGAGCTACGATAACTTGGCTTTGCAGTTCGAGGCTTTGAGGAAAGAGAATCAAACCCTACTCATCCAGGTATAACAAAGAATTTTAATCCTTCTTATAAATGTATGAGGCCACATTTGGTTGGTAGCATTAAATAATTAGGTCTTATTTAGGGGTGAAAATTGGACGGGTATCGAATCGGAATTAGCCCTTTCGGAATTTTTTTTTCAGAAGTGGAAAACTAACTCCGATTCTGTTCCCAAAAAAGTCGGAAAAATCAAAAAAATGGAATTTAGGAAATTGGAAAGAAGAAACTTATTCCAAAATCGGAAATTTTCGGGTAAAAGAAAGTGAAATCCACGATTCATTCCATAAGGCTTGGGCTTTGGTTTGATAGCTAATGATTGGACTTGGGGGAATTCGAAAATTCCATTTTTTTTGTCGCATATAATACAAAATACATAATAATATTGATGTTATAAGTATAATTTTGAGAAAAAAAATGGAATTTTTTGAAATTAAAATCGGATCAGAGATCGGAATCTAATAATTATTCCAATTCCGTTGAAAAAAATCGGAAAAATCGGAAATCGGAACTTTTGGAATTCGAATTAAAAAATATTGTTCCGAAATCGAAAACTTTTGGATCAGAATCTGAGGAATTTGGAATTTTCGATCTGATTTCCACCCCTAACCTATGGAAAAACGAGCTATTATATTGTGGCTTGCAAAGGATTGTGCATTGGATCACACCCCTAATCCAATTACACAATCGGGCTAATCTTTATATTCGGCAGGTGCAGAGACTCAGAAAGATGACCGAAAAAAGTGACGGCGAAGAAAATGACCACGAGAATCAAATCACACCACCAAAAACTTCTGAAAACCCGACATTTCTACTTGACATGAACAATCACGACATGTGCGTGACATCATGCAGTGATCTGAATAGAAAAATAGATTACCTGGAGGAGGACGCTGCTGATATTCTCAACATGGCAGAGATCGCCGAAGATTCCTTATTAGCATCTCCAGAAAACGGGTGCAGCTTCGATTCTTGTGCCTTTCTTGATAATACTGCTGCTGGCGGCACCACTTCACAGTGGTGGGATTTCTAGGCTTCAAATATAGAGTTACAATAGTATTGAGAACTAGGGATATATATATTATATAATTTATAAATGCATATTTCTTCCGAATTTGATTGTCGCTCGAAACCCCTGTAGTATTTTTACGGTGCGCTATCTCATCTACCATTTAAGTAGTCCAAACAGCACAAAAAAAAAAAAAAATCCCAATTTTATATAACTAATCATGGTTAATCTACCCAACCAAACGAGCCCTGTGTTTATTAGCAAGCCATGCTTCTCAAGTCTGTTTCTTCACTTTTGACATCTCCATTCGGCAGAATATTTTGTGCTTGTGCAAATTGTTTGGACTCCTGCATACGTTACAATCGGTTTAGAGCTTAGAGTAGCAAACCAAGTATACATTTCCATTTCTTACAAATTGGCACATTTCCGACGAAAAAAAATTAAAGGACGGAAAATATTGAGCTATACGAACAAAAAATTAAATACCATATATGAACATATATCAATGCTATTTACCCTACATGTACTTAATAACAATTTTGACTTGATAAAACAAAATCGTGGTGATTTGGAACTAAATAATCATGTTCATAACCACTTGAAAAACACTATTCAATCAATCACTTCAACATACCAAATTAATCGATTTTCCCCAATCCACTAAATTCAAAAAGAACATAATTGACTGAAATGAATATTTGTTACTTGAGTTAGGTTTTCCTTCTGCGACGGTGGTGCCCGGAGGAATCAACAGGAGAATCGTCGATTGATTGTGTGACCGTGACACTGTTTCCCCCCGCCGCCGCCGCCTGCAGCAGCCGTCGAAATCTGTAGTCTGTTAGGATTCCATGTCTCCCAATCTGGATATCTGCCGGTCTTGTTCGTTGTTACCGGCAGTAATTCGGTGGATCAAAGTTTTCACCACGATTTTTGATAAACCCAAATTTTATATAGAGTAGCAGTTTGGCCCCAAATTAAGGGCTGTTTTGGACTTATTAGTCCTCGAATAAGTTTTTTTGGACAAATTACACCCACTCTTGAGGTAAGATCAAATTATGAAAAAATCTCTTTTGTCTATATAATTACAGCCACCGCCCTTAATTATGTATTTTCTTGCGAAAAAATCCTTTTAGTTGGTAATTAGGAGGTCTTCATTCGATAAAATCATACAGAAATTTCGGTACGCCAAATTTTCATATGGTTTATCACACAGTTTGGTAAATAATCGAACTATCAAAATTTATTGAAAATATTTTTTTTTAATATTTTAAATTAATTATAGTTTAAATACTAATATTTCATACAAATAAATAAAAAACTAAATATCGAACCCAATTACCGGCTTGGTAATTAGCATGTACCGAATTTTCGTTCGGTTCGATTCGGTCGATTTATCGACCGGATGACACCCCAATGTAAATTTGACAATGTGAGGGTGAAAGTGTAAGGAAATACATAGTTGAAGGAGGGTGTCTGTAATTACAAAAACAAGACGAATTTTTCGTAATTTAGTTTTACCTCGAGGTGACCGTAATTTGTCCAATTTTTTTTAGGCAAAATCCATCGGAATTCTAAGCATGCGTGCCACAGGACACACGTGAGATTGGCAAGGGCAAACTTGTCTTTTCACTAACATTCTTATTTGGGGTTTAACTTCTCCCTTTTTCTCTTTCATTTTGAAGATGACTTTCCCTCCATTTTCATCTGCCTTATTCCCCAATTTTTGGGAATACCAATAAAAAATTATTGACAATTTAAAGAAGCATCAGCTAAGAAGACATCTAGAAATTAAGAAAATTATTGTAAAAATTGATTCCTTCATAATTATTATTATTATATACCCGAAAAAAAAGGCACCATCAAATTTAGAACAAGCTACAAATTAAAAGGAGCACAATAAATGTACATAATATTTTCTGAAACTGCACATTGGAATCATGACATCTGTGCCAAAGCCTTCTCGAACTGGCCCCACTTGTGCTCGAGGGTCCCACTATACCCGATCGACATCCTAACAAGCCCCGGCGAGATCCCCGCCAGCGCCTTCTCACCCTCATTCATCTCGCTGCTCGTGCTGCTCCCGGAGCACGACATCAGCGTCTCGTAGTACCCTAGACTAACCGCCATAAACCCAAACTGACTGCAGTTTTGCAACAAATTCATCAATTTATTCGCCTTCTCCTCGGTTCCCATGTCGACGCACATTATCCCGCCGTAGCCATAGTCCTTATGGGCTATGGACTTGAGAAGGGCATGCTCCGGGTGGTCCTCTCACTAGGCCAAAACACGACACTGGCGACGGAAATTTGCGACGAAAATGACTCATTTGCAACGAAAATTGCATGTTTGCGACGCAAAATATTCGTCGCAATGATGGTCCAAAATCGTTGCTCTGTGTCTCGTCGCAAATACTGCGACGAAATTGTTTTTCGTCGCTCCGTATGCAACGAAACGGTTAAATCGTCGCAATATTTAGATTTTCCTAGAATATTCATTTTATTTTCTATTGCGACGATACATACTCTTTTCGTCGCAATATATTGCGACTTTAAAGTCATAATCGTCGCAAATAATTTAGATTTTTTGCGACAAAATATTTGATTTCGTAGATACACTAAAGTCAATTTGCGACGATAGTGGATCCATAATTCGTCGCATATCTGTAGCTATTGCGTCGAAATATATTTGGTCCCAAAATAAATATTTTTTCTTTTGCGACGATTTCAATTTTTAGTCGCAACTGCTACTGCTATTTTTTTTTTTTCTTAAATCAAATTTTTTTTTTCTAATAAAAAATTAAATATGTACATCAATTGCAATAAATAAAATTAGCTATTACATCAAATACCAAAACACATTAAAATATAAGTCTTACATTAAAAGTAAATATTAAAGTAACACACAAATATGAATTCAAAAAATACATAAACTCAAAATAAAGTCGTACATAAGAAAAAGAAAAAAAATTAAGTCGCACACAAACATGAATCCAAGTAAGACATAAACGAGAATTAATCCTTGTTTTGCGCCCACACGTTTAATCCCAACTCCTTTGCACTTCCTCAACACTCTTTCATAAACTAATGAGTTGGCCGTACTTTCGTCACTTCCACCAAGTCTACACTCTTCTTAAACTTTCTTCAATTCAGCCTAAACAACTTAAGTGCACAAGTTAAACCCAAATTTCGGCGGCATAACGACTAAAATACAAACATACAAAAAAAATACCCTTATCAATATACAATAACCAACATATCCAAAAAATACATAAATCCATATATATCAACTACTAATTCAACATATCAACACTGTGCTTGCATATCAACATATCAATGGACAATCAAGTAATAGATTGGAACTACGCCATATATACATAAATTTTAAAATAAATCCCAACTTAACATTCAACAAAAAAGAGCAAACATGGATAATTGGGATACTAAAATTGAAGTATTAAAAATATTGTGCTTACAGAAATAGCAAGTTGGTCGGGAGTAGCTGTCCCTGTAAACGGTTGTTCCATATCATCTCTTCACTAGTGGATGACCCCATTGCTTGTAATGAATCAATGCCCATATAGGCTTTCTTATAATCAACCACTGTAGGAATTTTACTAAATTTGTTAAATTGTAATAATAAATTACAAAGTAATTAGACATTTTAAATCTTAAAGAAATAAAACTCATAGTAACAATCACTTACATGTTTATAGGACCAAATATTGATACTAGTTCGACCCCAATGATGGTCTGTTGCAGCTGCCTTTCGTGAATCCTTACGTTTACTAAACTGGACTCTGAACATAGAGCACATTAATAGACTACAATACATACGAATATCCTCAGTTAATATTAAAAGTACAATTTACCTTCCATTTACCTCCAAGATTAGACATATAATGAAATTGCTCACATAATTCCTGCCCACATATCACCACTGATCCTTGATGAAAACTAATCAACTAACATATTTACAAAATTCTATATTAAGCTAATAACTCGGCAAAAATATTGATGCAATTTCTTAGATAACTAATAGGAACGTCCAAATCCATGTACTGTCGGAGATTGAAATCAATGAAAATTAAAGACACATGCCAAGGTATAAGCGATTATGCCTTCCAGATTGTTCAAAATATTGTTTTTTTTTTAATATTAGACTCACATCACATTCACAACCATATACTGATACAATCATCTTCAATCAAACAACAACAAACCCAATTCACTTAATGGAGATATTTATTGGAAAAAGAATGGAGAAAAGCACTAACGTATATATTGTGGAGAGATATATGTGGGCGGCGGAGTGTGGCGACGAAGTGGGCATCGGAGTGGGCATCGGAGTGTGGCGACGAAGAGACACCGCCGTATTGGGCTGCGGGGTAGGGGCTGCTGAAGTGAGACGACAGAGTGGGCGGCGGAGTGTGACGCCGCCTCAGTGGGCTGCGGCTGGAGCTCGACGGCGGAGTGGGCGGCAGAGTATCACGCTGCCGGAGTGGGCTGCGGGATAAGGGCTTATGAAACTCGACGGTGGTGTGGGCTGTGGAGTGTGACGCTACCTGAGTGGGCTGCAACTGAAGCTCGACGACGGAGAGGGAGGCAGAGTGTGACGCTGCCGGAATCGGCTGCGTGATAGGGGCCGTTGAAGCTCGACGGGAGAATGGGTAGCGGTCGCCGGAGGGGCCACCGGATTTGTGCAGCAGTCAAGGAGATAAATTGAGAGGGAAAGACAGGACAAAGACGAAGAAAAAGAATTTGGAGGAGAATCGGCAATTTAGGGTTGAAAATTAAAAAAATTGCCACGTTAACCTAAACATCGTCGCATTTAATTAGAAAAACAATAAATTATTGCGACGTTTTCTCAATCGTCGCACAAAAAGGCGGAATTTTTTCAGAAATTTGATTTTTGCCTACAAAAAAAGCGCGAAATTTTAATTTTCCAAATTTAATTGCAACTTTTAGATTATATTCGTGCGACGATTCTATGTTTCGTCGCAATTGTATTTTTTATTTATCTAAAATTTTGATTTTAATATGTGACGTATTCATTTTCGACACAAGAATTTCTGAATTTGGAAGATATGCGACGTTACTGTCGAAATCGTCGCAAACTTATGCTTAATAAAATAAAATTTTAATCTTCTCTCTGCGACGATTATCTAGTTTCGTCGCAATCGTGTCAAAAATTAATTTTACGGAGCAACTTGCGGCGTATTTCTAATTTCGTCGCAATTATTTAATTTTATAAATGTTGAAATATTTTTTATAGCGTCGTTTTGATTATTATCGTCGCAACTGATGTATGTAATTTTTTTATTATTAACTGTTGCGACGATTTTTAATTTTCGTCGTTCAGTTGCGACGATTACTGAGAATCGTCGCATATGTATGAAGTTAAATTGGATCTTAAACTCATTGCGACGTTTTTGGTACAATAACGTCGCAATACTGCGACGAAACTTGAATCGTCGCAAATAAAATCGTCGCCAGAGTGCAGTTTTGGCCTAGTGTCTAGGCCCGGGTAGATCACTTTCAGGCCCAACTTCTTCATCCGCGTCGCGTAGACTAAGGCCCGGTGGCAATGCTCCTTCATTCGTAGGCCCAAATGCGGTAACCGCCCCGAGAGCTCGAAGGCAACTTTCGGGTTCATGGTGGGGCCCAATAGCATGAGGGACCCTTGGTGGAGGTCCATCATGGAGTTCACTAGCCTGGCTGGCCCACATACTGCACCTGTTGATACATTATTGTTCATCCAAAAACTTTTTCGGCATTAGATTTACTACATAAATATACCAAAAGAATTGAGATAATCAAAATTTAATATTGTATATTCTGCAATGTATCGAAGGCATTTGATTTGGACACGTCCCTTCATCTCTTTCGATATAAGTGTCGTTTAAGGTTGATGCAAACTAATTAAAAGAAAAATTAGTAAATAGCATTGCTTTTCAGGTGAACGACAAATTTACCCTTTTGTGGTTTTTCATTTTCTCTATATCATTTTCTAGGGTAAAGATGGATTTTATAAAAAAAAAAATTGGCTTGTCTTTAAATTTCATAGGGTCACAATTTTTTGTAAATAATTTAGTCACAAAATTTTCATAAGTAAATTTGGGGACTTGCTATTTGCGGTTTATAACAAAAAATACTTTATCTCTTTAAAACTCCAAAACTTCCTAAAAACATCCAAACACCCCCCAAAACGCATAAAAGCCCAACTTGGGCGCCCATTCATACAGTGCACGCCCAAGTTGGGCGTGCAAGCTGCATTTGGGCGCCCGAGTTGGGCGCCCAATGCAATTTTTTTTTTTGTAATTGAACGCCCAAGATGGGTGCCCAAGGCGTGTACGATGGGTGTTCCAACATTTTTTTGCGAAAAAAAAAACCCTACAAATCGATTTGTAGGGCTTTTTAACATGAAATTGGTTCCGTAATCGACCTACCCAATGCATATTACACATAAAAGAGTCGAAATTACATCAACAAATCGAACCACAACCCTTCTTCAAGCTTGATTTCGAATTTTCGATTTTTTTTTCTTTTTTTTTTTTTGCTATTTGCAGTTTGGGGGATTTTTTGATTTTTTTGGGAAGTTTTAGGGGGATTTGTTAGAAACCGCAAATAATAATTTTCTAACCGTAAATAGGATTTCATTAAATTTGTTATTTCTTTTCATTACATGCTTGTAAATAATCGATTTTATATGTATTGATTTAGAAGCTATTGGGGTTAATGGTGACTTGTCCCTCAACCTTACCTACTTATGAATCCGATTTTCTTATGATACCAAACAACAATATATCAACATAATAACTAAATGTCTACTTGAAATAAAAAAAAAAAAAGGCTGCGGCTATATGCAAGACTAATTCCACTTGTGCAAGACCAAATTAAAATTTTCAATGTATAAATACTATAATACCCTTATTTATTAAAAAAATAAAAAAATCCAAATATGCAAGACCAAAAATTCAAAAATACAAAAAACCCTATCACAAGACCACAAAACCACAAGACCAACTCTCATCTTCTCCATCTTCCAAAACCCATAAGACCTTTCTCATTCCTCCTCCATTAACCCACAAAACCTAGAAATTCAAAATCATCAAAACTCAACAAATCTTACAAAGATGGCAAGTATGGAGTCAGAAGACATCAAAATAGAAGATTCTACGATGGAAGAACCCAAGAATGTATGCATTTATGGGTTTTTTAGCTAGAATCTCGATTTTCCAAAAAAAATCCTGCGCAAACGAATTCGACATGTACAGGTCGAATTTTACAGGTAAAAATCGACATTTAGATGTCGATTTTGAGGTATAAAATTCGACATTTGAATTTGTGCTATAAATTCGACATGTCAATGTCGATTTTTACCTATGAAACTCGACGCTTAAGTGTCGATTTGTAGCATAGTTTTTCGACACCTTGGTGTCGATTTTTGTTTTTTTCTCATTATTTGTATTTGGTCTTACATGAGAAAAAAAAGCCAATTTAATTTATGGGCATAGTTGTCATTCCATCTTAATAAAATAGAATTTTTTGGAATCTTCTTTAACTTGGTCTTGCACAAGTGGAATGAGTATTGCATATAGCCGCAGCAAAAAAAAACAACAAGATGACCAATCAATCCAAATAGAACTAAAATAATTGAGACTGAAGTCAATTTATAATAATAATAATAATAATAATAATAATAATAATAATAATAATAATAATAATAATAATAATAATAATAATAATAATAATAATAATAAATTGATGTACGGAAGCAAATATTATAAGCGAGTTTCTAATGAGACAATATTTATTTTCCTTTTTGTTCACCATATTTGCATTGCAAGCCAATTTTTTTTTATTAGACAATATTTTAAGCGAGATTATTTTTGCAATGCAAATATAGTTTTTTCAAGCCAATTTTATTTTTTTCAATGCAATTAGGAAAATAAATATCCTGTATGGATTAATAAGAAAAATAAGTGGGATTAAAAAAAATATTACTTAAGCAAGATTATTAATTTATTAACTATTAATTTATCGAGGTTCTAATGTAAATATGGTGAAAATATAGAAAACGCATGCAATGCAAACATGCTAAATAAAAAGGAAAATAAATAAATAAAGAGTGGTAAATTAATATGAGAAAATGGGACCTGCGATGATATCGGCCCCACCGCTGATGTACTTTGAAATACTGTGAACAACCACGTCGGCGCCGAGCCTCGCCGGCGACACCACCATCGGAGCAAAGGTATTGTCAACCACCACCGTCACACCCTTATCGTGCGCTATCCTGCACAGCTCCGGCACGTTAGCAACGGTCAGGACCGGGTTGGATATCGCCTCGAAGTACAGAACTTTGGTCCTCCCCTGCACGATTTCCCGCTCCACCATCTCGAGATCTCCGATGTCAACAAACGACGTCGTTATGTTGCAGGCGCGTGGGAAGAAGTGCGTGAGGAGCGCGTGGGTCCCTCCGTAGAGGATGTGGGAGGCCACCACGTGCCCGCCGGAGCTGCATAGCTGGAGGAGTACGGAGGAGATGGCGGACATGCCGGAGGCGGTGCAGTAGGCGGCCTCGGTGCCCTCCATGGCGGCCATGAGGCGGCTGAGGTTGAGGACGGTGGGGTTGAAGTGGCGGCTGTAGATGAAGAAATCCCGGTCGGGGCCGAGCTCTCCGGCGAACATCCGCCGCATGGTTTCGGACTCCATGACGGTGAAGGTGGCGGAGGCCTCGATGGACATGTTCACTCCGCCGTGCTCGCCGAACACGTGGCGGGCATTGGCCAGCGCCACCGCCGGGTCGTCGGTCTTGTTCGCCGCCGCCGCCGCCAGGTGCTTCTTGGCGGCGAATTGATCCCACTGGTCGTCGGAGGAGCCCGATTGTTTCTTGCCGGAAATGTTGGACGTGTCGAAATTGAGAGCTGTTTCGGCCATTGTTGGCGGCGCGTGGGCTTGTGGTTTTCTTGTGTATAGCTAGAAATAATGGGTGAGAGAGTGTGAGGGATATGATATAGAGGTGTATTTATAAGGGATTTGGTTAAAATTCGCTCAAAACTATTTTGTATAATTATAATAAGTCCACTTGGATATTTTGAATTTGCTAAAACTCTCTCGGATAACTTAATTGGAGAGGTTACCCTAAAAATAGACGTTTTAGTTAGACAGTTCAGACTGGAAATGAACAATTTATACTGAAAATAGACAATTTAGTTTGGAATGAAAATAGACAGGTCTAACTAAAAAGAAGGCTAATTAGACCGATCAAAATATTATTTTTCTGGTCATGTGATTGGTGGAAATTAGGTGGTCGGCGGTGGAATGGAATACAAGCCATTTTTTTGGAGTGAAAGTGGTTTTGAGGATAGATGAAATGAAGGAGAAAATAAATTAGTTGGAAGGGTAATTCAATTAAGGCTCCATTTGATTGGGAAGATTAGCCATGATTAACTAAATAGTTAGACTTTGTTGGATGTTTGATATTGATATTCTCAATAACTTGCCGGGTCGACCCACAAATATTATATCATTGCTTGTCTTGTCTTTTAAACATGTTTTCTGTTGGACCTTCCAAGATCGAACAAAACAATTGGATTTCATTAGATTATTTAGTATTATCTTAGCCAAGGTTCTAAAAGGCGGTTATCGGGTACGTGGCGGTTTGGGACCGCCACACGATAAATCGGCGCGGCGGTGATTTATCGGAGATAAATCGGAAATATATCGGTTTTTAAATTTAGTGTAATATATTTCTAAAAAAATATTTGTAAATACTCAAAATATATATAAAAGAATATTTAAACATAATTCTGTCCTATTATTCATATGTTATTATATAATTATAATTACTCAATAAATAACAAAACTTAAAAAATAATAAGATCATAATATAATAAAAGATTCTTATGAAATACAAATACTACACAAGTCTTTCGCATCAATTATTAATATAAACACAACAAAGCATAAATTGCGGGGTAGTACTTGGTTTGGTTTTGGAAGTTGAAAAAATTGGAGAAAAACAAAAAATCAAAACATACTTTCATTTTAATTTAAATTAAAAAAAAAAAAAAAAAAACCGATTTGTTGACCGATATATCGGTTTGACCCGCCAAAAAACCGCCGCAAACCGCCTCGCCGTAAAAAACCGATATTCCAAACCGCCTCAACAAAATCGTAAAGGTTTATAACCAATACCGATATGGCGGCCGATATATCGACCGCCACGACCGATATTTAGAACACTGATCTTAGCTAATCTTATGTTGGCAACCGGGCCTTAGTATTTGTGTTGAAACCTTAAGCTATAGTTATTTTGTAATGGATCCACTATAAAATAACAATATACTCTAGAATATGAATTGATTACAATTAGAACAAATTGATTTGTGGTAAGAGCTCTTGATATAGCTCCTCAAATATTACATGTTCAATTTCATTTTTTCTATTATACATTTTTTTTCCAACAATTATCAACATACCTTCTCAAATACAAAATCGTTCAAGTATGGTTATGTCAAAGTCCACTTAATTAACTTCAGGATCCAGATACCCTAATAATAAATCAATTATGTTCCTTTTATAGTCGATTCATTGTTTATGAGGTGTAATATACGGTTTAATATTTTAGTCAACAAAAGTATTTTTGTAAATGAATAAAGTATATTTTACGTCCAGTTTATTTCAGAATTTCGAGAAAAACAATAAGAAGGGATTATCACTAATTATTTACAAAAGTGATACATATCTCAATGCAATTTCAAAACGGGTTTGACTAATTTTCCCTTGTAGTAAACATGATTTAATTTATTAAATGAACACATGAGGATTGTTTATGTTGTTTTCCCCAAATATAAGGGGTGAATTTTGCAATTATGATGAATGAAGGGTCTTATATACAATTTATTCTTGAGAATCTTTGAAGAGGTTATTGGGGTGAAGGAGGATCTTGAAGTAAACCGGTGGAGAGTGTGAGTATTGTCGCTCGTCACGTTTTCTGCATGCATGCAATACTATATTATTAAACTCTCCAATCAAATATTGCAAACATGATGTATTCTTTCTTAAATAATGTATTCTTGTATTCAAGATTAATAATTATTTCAAAATAAGAGGAATGAATTTTATAAAAATTAAGATATATCGTAACAATTATAAATAAATTGCTCTCTATTTATATTTTATACGTCTGTGAAAATACACGAATATTCTTCTTATCACAATAATAAATTACATTAATTGACAGAAATATTTTTTTTCCTATTCTAATTTATTAATGGGGGTTAAAGATGTGCAAATCTCACTAAATTATATATTTCTTAAAAAATATTAAGTGTATCCAGCTCAGTATGCTCGGACGGCCCTT